ATAACCATAAAACTATTAATTTCGGGCAGATTTCGTGAATCTGCCCCGACAAAACCAGGATCAGGCTTCATTTACTTGATTGTTTTATACTAATTGATCGTAAACTAAATATTTTTCTACAGTTTAACTTATACACATGTAGTATCCAGCTAAGCCAGCTAAGCTAAGTCTGTTTGTATACTTATGATCATGACGTCACTCGAGCGTTAGCCAATGAGATGGCAGGGCATGCACCGTTTAAAAAACCTGAGAAATTACGACATTTACAAAACATTATTACAAAAGTTTGAACAAATGAAAATGTAAAATATTAATTTTAGTGAAATCAGTATTTATTGAGGATTGTATTAAAAAATTTTGAAGTCACCTTATTTTTTTTTTTACCCAATTAATTACACGTGAGAACTTAACGTCGCGCAGGCGTGTTTGCCTTAGCTGGCGGTGCTCCTGGCGCGATGCTACAACATTTGTGCGCATCGTTACAAGTGGTATGCCGCGATACTGCCTGTGTAATTAGATTTATGGTCATGCTTTGGTACCGCTTAATTCTTCGAGTTGTAACGGCCACCGGGATGGTTATAGTTGCATTAGGCTAATGTTGACTGACAGAGAAAGAGAGGGTGAGAGAGAGAGGGAGGGGGGGGGGGGTAGCCTCGGACCGGATACGAGTGTGCACGGGTCCGCGTAATCGCGCATTAGCCCCTCGTGTAATTATAACGTAGCAATTAGTCAGCGCGAGAGCGGGCCCCGGTGCTCCGGCTGGCGGCTTCGCTTCTTTGCCAGAAGATCTGCGACCGCTGCGGTTGAAAGTTTTACGAGCTAACATTTTCGCATCCCATTTTTCGTCAACCGCATGCCGCGCCGTTCCGCAAAAAAGAAGCCGACGCCACCCGGTTTCAGACTGCTGTTCTTCTCGACCTGCATCCCTCACGTCTCTCCTTAAGGGACATCTTGCAACCAACTAATTTAATATCCGCTTTTATAATTATCACATTATTTACAACGAAACAGCGTCACGAGGGCAGAGAGATCGAATCCGGAATTTAACACTCAAAGTGCCCGGCGTCGGTAATGGCAACATTAAGTTATTGTTCGATGTCTTTAATGCAATTTATTGCAATTACACACGGTGTAACATGATAATGCCTCAAATGCCTGCTTATTTGTGCAAATCACAGCTACATAAACTCGGAACAAAATCCATTTTGGAAATGACAATGACTGATGTATCCATGCATGAAGCTCGCAACTGTACCGTAACTATTCACCTAGTTGTAGGATGCACAAAATCCACAATCGCATTTGTTGCCGATTAACGGATTAGCTAATCTAATCTCAAGTTCTTCGGTTGCGCTAAATGGTGTAATCCGATATACCAACCGATACGACTATCAACACAATGGTGCTTGCGGTTTTGCAATAAATTTACGGACGTTCGTGACGATAGTTCACTGTAATCGCACTGCCGAACACTCTTGGGTACTTGAAAAAAAAAAAAAAGTAAAAAAACGAAATAGATGGATCATATCGCTGTTAACTGAGAGAGAATCGAACTGTCCCATTCGTGGTGTTGCGATAGCATAAATTTCAGTCAACTTTTCCGCTCTTTCCGTCCGCTCCAAATTTCGCCCAATCGATTTTTAACACACCACTACGAAAAGATTGCGTGATCACCATTTCGAAAAATTTGTATGAAAATGCTCGCCTTTCACCATTCTATTTCTAACAGGAAATTACATAACTGAGTCGCGAGTCCTCCATGTTTTTACTCTCTATCGGCTCGAACCGATTTTGAAGCGATTCGAAAGGCAAGAACGCTCTCAAGAGCTCCATATTTTTACCTTTTTTTAAAAAGGTAAGTTTTTTACGTGATATCACACCTTTTGTAGTTTTATTTAATTATAAGTTTCCATACAAATTCATTCTAAG